AAGAAAAGAAAAAAGAAAAAGAGGACAACAAAGATGAGTAGTGTTTGGGTAGCTTCATGATCCAACACTGTTGAAGTCTTCAGCTGCTTCCACACCTGAAATTCCCGAGGATGTTTCCTTGAAGAAGACACTCCGACGTTCAAGTTAGCAATACTCAATATTCTAAAGAGAGATACTCTCGAAGAGTAATTGCAGAGAGAAAAGCGTGGTAGAGTTAATTACCTTCATCAGAGGTAGTTGGGGGATATTTATAGCCCCAAATGCTGACATGCGTCTGTACATGTAAGCATTCCATTGGGCCACATGGCGCTACTCACATGGGTATGCTTGTACTGGTGCTCACTCTCTTTGAGCTAATGGGCGGTAGTCTAGGCCCATTGTACACAGCCCAAGTTGAATGTTGGGCCTATTCCAACAAGTAGAAAATGGCATTATTAGGGTTCCGTTCCTCTTTAGGGTTTGAAATCATTGGCCAAGACAAAGGGAAAGATAAAAAGAAAAGAAAAAAGAAAAAGAGGACAATAGAGATGAGTAGAAAATGACATTATTAGGCTTCCGTTCCTCTTTAGGGTTTGAAATCATTGGCCATGACAAAGGGGCTTAGGAGGGACCCAGGCCTTCCCTTAAATCTTCAAAAAAGTTAAGATTTTTAATTTTTTTAAATTTTAACTATTTTCATCCCTATGCTTTTTATTTTATCGTTTCAGTTCTACTCTGATTTCTTTATGCATTAGATGTTACTTTGACTTCTTTTTTTTTTTTTATCCAAACGATGTTATTTTGGATGCTCCGGCCCTTTAGACGACAAGTGTGTTTTTATTATTTGGTTATTTTATTATTTGGATATATTTTTTATTCTCTGTCTACGATAGCAAATTTTTATTTAAAAGTAAAAAAATATATATTTTGACGTTAAAAATGCCTTTAGTAAGCCTTGCAATTTTTCCAGTAGTTGTGCTTTTGTTCGATGTTTGGTGTTGCTTTATTCTTTCTATTTTGTTTAAAGCTTGTATTGAACTCTAACCTTTCTATTAATATAATATATACATTCTGTTGGCCTAAAAAGAAAAAGAAAAAAAAAACAAACAAACAAATGGACTCCAAGTTGCCCAAAAAAATAAACAGAAAACAAAAAACAAAACAAATAGACTTACATGGACTGATAAATATTAATTTGAATTTTAGTTGTTGGGAAATATAATTTTGAATTGAATATTAATTGATATACATTTCAATTCAATACATTACATTATACAATATA